TACGCCACACTCCACATTCCTCTATACCACCCCAAGGCACCAAACTCTCCCCCCCGACAAACTAGAACAGGAGGTGAAGGGGAAGAAAAAAGACCCACCCCAAATCGACTAGGCCCACTCCCGTCAACTGCCGCCCATTTACCGACCCAGTCGCCCCGGAAAAATAGGGGGCGTATGGCTGCCACCCAGAAAAAAAGCCTTTCCGCGGTACCTCCCACCCCATAGTGAGAAAAACCGAAAGGAAGGAACGAGAAAAAAAAACGAGAAGAAAAAGACGACCCCCCTATTACACCCTCCCTCCATCCACCCGATCCAGCCCCCCTGCTGTTCAACCATGGTCCCCCTCTCCCACTTAACCCTCTCCCGGCGATTCCACGCCTCGCACACTCTACACTTTACACTCTTACTTTTTACAATCTACACTACACATTCCACACTCTACACGCTCTACACTCCCCACTCCACACTATACAAAGCACTTCCCAGTACTACTTTGTACTGCAAAGCTTGCACAAACTACTTCCCAGTACTTTGTACTACAAAGCTCGCACAAAGCGCTTCCCAGTACTACTGTGTACTACAAGGCTTGCAAAGTCGTCCCAGTACCACTTTGTACTACAAAGCTTGCACGAAGCACTTCCCAGTACCACTTTGTACTACAAAGCTTGCACGAAACCGTTCCCAGTACTACTGTGTACTACAAAGCTCGCACAAAGCACTTCCCAGTACTACTGTGTACTGCAAAGCTTGCACAAAGCACTTCCCAGTACCACTTTGTACTACAAAGCTTGCACAAAGCACTTCCCAGTACTACTGTGTACTACACATCTTGCACAAACTACTTCCCAGTACCACTTTGTACTACAAAGCTTGCACGAAGCACTTCCCAGTACCACTTTGTACTACAAAGCTTGCACGAAACACTTCCCAGTACTACTGTGTACTACAAAGCTTGCACAAAGCACTTCCCAGTACTACTTTGTACTACAAGGCTTGCAAAGTCGTTCCCAGTACTACTGTGTACTACAAAGCTTGCAACAACTACTTCCCAGTACTACTGTGTACTACAAAGCTTGCACAAAGCACTTCCCAGTACTACTGTGTACTACAAGGCTCGCACAAACTACTTCCCAGTACTACTGTGTACTACAAAGCTCGCACAAACTACTTCCCAGTACTACTGTGTACTACAAAGCTCGCACAAACACGTTCCAGTACTAATGTGTAGTACTACTGTGTGCTACAAAGCTCGCACAAACACGTTCCCAGTACTACTGTGTACTACAAAGCTCGCACAAACTACTTCCCAGTACTACTGTGTACTACGAAGCTTGCAGAAACACGTTCCCAGTACTACTGCGTACTGCAAATGCACAAAGCACTGCCCAGTACTACTGTGCACTACAAAGCTCGCACAAACACGTTCCCAGTACTACTGTGTACTACAAAGCTTGCACAAACACGTTCCCAGTACTACTGTGTACTACAAAGCTCGCACAAAGCACTTCCCAGTACTACTGTGTACTACAAAGCTTGCAGAAACTACTTCCCAGTACTACTGTGTACTACAAAGCTCGCACAAACACGTTCCCAGTACTACTGTGTACTACAAAGCTTGCACAAAGTACTTCCCAGTACTACTGTGTACTACAAAGCTTGCAACAACTACTTCCCAGGACCATTGTGTACTACACATCTTGCACAAACACGTTCCAGTACTACTGTGTACTACAAAGCTTGCAACAACTACTTCCCAGTACTACTTTGCACTACAAAGCTTGCACAAAGCACTTCTCAGTACTACTTTGTACTACAAAGCTTGCACAAAGTCGTTCCCAGTACTACTGTGTACTACAAAGCTTGCACAAAGCACTTCCCAGTACTACTGTGTACTACAAAGCTTGCACAAAGCACTTCCCAGTACTACTGTGTACTACAAAGCTTGCACAAAGTCGTTCCAGTACTACTGTGTACTACAAAGCTCGCACAAACTACTTCCCAGTACTACTGTGTACTACAAAACTTGCACAAAGCACTTCCCAGTACTACTTTGCACTACAAAGCTTGCACAAAGCACTTCCCAGTACTACTGTGTAGTACAAAACTTGCACAAAGCACTTCCCAGTACTACTTTGCACTACAAAGCTTGCACAAAGCACTTCCCAGTACTACTGTGTACTACAAAGCTTGCACAAAGCACTTCCCAGTACTACTGTGTACTACAAAGCTCGCACAAACACGTTCCCAGTACTACTGTGTACTACAAAGCTTGCACGAAGCACTTCCCAGTACTACTGTGTACTACAAAGCTTGCACAAAACACTTCCCAGTACTACTTTTTACTACAAAGCTTGCACAAAGCACTTCCCAGTACTACTGTGTACTACAAAGCTCGCACAAACTACTTCCCAGTACTACTGTGTACTACAAAGCTCGCACAAAGCACTTCCCAGTACTACTGTGTACTACAAAGCTTGCACAAAGCACTTCCCAGTACTACTTTGTACTACAAAGCTTGCACAAAGCACTTCCCAGTACTACTTTGTACTACAAAGCTTGCACAAACTACTTCCCAGCACTACTTTGTACTACAAAGCTTGCACAAGCACTTCCCAGTACTACTTTGTACCACAAAGCTTGCACAAAGTCGTTCCCCCCCTATCCCGCTACGACTGTGTACTATCAAGCTTGCAACACTACTTCCATACTACTGTGTACTACAAAGCTGCACAAAGTACGTTTCCAGTACTACTTTGACTACAAAGCTTGCACAAAGTCGTCCCATTAAGCTAACCTAATATACTACAAAACCTCGCACAAACCCGTTCCCGTAACTACTTGTACGACAAAGCTTTTGCACAAAGTCGTTCCCAGTACTACTGTTCACACTACAAAGTCTCGCACAAAGAAACACGTTCCCAGTACTACTGTGTACAACAACGCTGCACAAAGTACTTCCCAGTACTACTGTGTACTACAAAGCTCGCACAAACTACTTCCCAGTACTATTGTGTACTACAAAGCTTGCACAAAGCCGTTCCCAGTACTACTGTGTACTTCAAAGCTTGCACAAACACGTTCCAGTACTACTGTGTACTACAAAGCTCGCACAAACACGTTCCCAGTACTACCGTGTACTACAAAGCTTGGACAAAGTCGTTCCAGTACTACCGTATACTACAAAACTCGCACATCCACGCAACAAAAGACAACGGCAACATCTACGCAACAAAAGACACGAGGTCCTGCAGCTTCCCGTATAGACACGGCGACATCCACGTGGCAAAAGACACGAGGTTTTGCAACTTCCCCTATAGACACGGCGACATCCACGCAGCAAAAGACACGAGGTTTTGCAGCTTCCCCTATAGACACTGCGACATCTACGTAGCAAAAAACACGAGGTTTTGCAGCTTCCCCTATAGACACTGCGACATCCACGTAGCAAAAGACACGAGGTTTTGCGGTTTTGCAGCTTCCCCTATAGACACGGCGACATCCACGTAGCAAAAGACACGAGGTGTTGCAGCTTCCCCTATAGACACGGCGACATCCACGCAGCAAAAGACACGAGGTTTTGCAGCTTCCCCTATAGACACGGCGACATCCACGTAGCAAAAAACGCGAGATGTTGCAGCTTCCCCTATAGACACGGCGACATCCACGTAGCAAAAGAAACGAGGTTTTGCAGCTTCCCCTATAGACACGGCGACATCCACGTAGCAAAAGACACGAGGTGTTGCAGCTTCCCCTATAGACACGGTGATATCCACGTAGCAAAAGACACGAGGTGTTGCAGCTTCCCTTATAGACATGGCGACATCTACGTAGCACAAAACACGAGGTTTTGCAGCTTCCCCTATAGACACTGCGACATCCACGTAGCAAAAAACACGAGGTGTTGCAGCTTCCCCTATAGACACGGCGACATCCACGTAGCAAAAAATACGAGGTGTTGCAGCTTCCCCTATCGACACGGCGACATCCACGTACCAAAAGACACGAGGTTTTGCAGCTTCCCCTATAGACTATAGACACGGCCACATCGACGCAGCAAAAGACACGAGGTTTTGCAGCTTCCCCTATAGACAATGCGACATCTACGTAGCAAAAAACACGAGGTTTTGCAGCTTCCCCTATAGACACTGCGACATCCACGTAGCAAAAACACGAGGTGTTGCAGCTTCCCCTATAGACACGGTGACGTCCACGTAGCAAAAAACACGAGGTTTTGCAGCTTCCCCTCTAGACACTGCGACATCTACGTAGCAAAAAACACGAGGTTTTGCAGCTTCCCCTATAGACACTGCGACATCCCCGTAGCAAAAAACACGAGGTGTTGCAGCTTGTCCTATAGACACAGCGACATCCACGTAGCAAAAGAGACGAGGTTTTGTAGCTTCCCCTATAGAGACCGATTTAACGTCGCGCAAAATGTCGCGAAAAAGGGCGCGAAAACGTCGCGCCGAGCAACTGGAGGCGAACAAGGGTCCAACCCCCAGACCCCCAACTATAAACGGGAACCCTTCGCTACGCATTCGGGAAAAACATGTTGGGATTCAATCCGTAAAAATTGGGTAAAATTGGCCAGCGGACATGGTCGTTTGCGATCTCTGAATCGTCAGTAAGCAAAGCCGTCCAGCAAAGCCAGTTTTAGTTCCAGCTTAGTTCAAGTGCGCAAACTGATCATTTCTGAAGTTCCACCTAGCAACCAGGGGGATCACCAGCCTGCTGAAATTCGATTTTTCGACATCCAACTGGCATCTGAAACAACATTTTCAATGGTAAATGATATGTAAAAAAACAATTTTCCATGGTAAAAAGACAATTTCCATGGCAAACAACATGTAAAATCCACAGAAAGCCATCATTTCCATAGCTTTCACCCAGGCAAGACGACAGCGGCTCGGCGCCGGCCTGCGACTGTTCGCAGTCGGCGGAGTTCACAAGCGCCTCATTGATGACCAAAGGGAAGAAGGCGCGTGGAGAGGTGGTGATGGATGGATATATGGATATATATATATATATAGATAGATAGATAGATAGATGGAATATTAATATTGGATATAATATCTATATGATGTCTATATAATATGGATAATGGATATATATATATAATTATATATATATATATCTATCACCCATTCCATAGATTTAATATGAATGGAATAATGATGGATTGTGCATTATGGATTATCATCTATATATATATATTGATGGTATATATCCATAATATCAATGGAATATTAATAATGGTAATATGGTTAATAATATAATATTACATAGATATTATCCATATATTTATGGAATATTAATATTAATATATATGTTTATCCATATATCCATATATTATGGATTATACTGATGGGTTATATCCATAAGTATCCATAGTGTATTGTAATATAATCATCAAGTTAAATTTATTTATGGATTATAGAATATTAACCATAACTAATAATAATCCATCCATTATTATATGGATACATCCATTGTTATAGATGATACATATTGATATTGGAGGGATGATTAATAATGACAATGAATAATGATACATATAATGATCATTAGTGACGATATAGAATATATATATATATATTGTATGTTAATGAATAATAATGATCATTAGATGGTTCATGATGAATAATGATTCATTATTAATATAATAGGAATATATGATGATTGCCAATGATTATAATCGGAATATATATATATATATACATATTAATTTATTGGATTCTATATATAGAATATATATGTATATTAATTGATCATTCGTATGTGCCTATTACATGGCTGTGGTCTATACTCCTATTGCATGGCCAATGAACAATGAATAGCCCAAGTATACAATAGGATATATGATACATACATACATATATATATATATATTACACCTGCCCTGCCACTGGGCTCTTTAATGAACACCATGTTGGGTGTATGTGATGGTCAGCAATCCATAGGGAATTGTATCTCCACTATGAAATAGGAATTTTGACCTAGAACCACTTTCTACATTCTATGGTTACAACGGTTAGTAAGTTTGTAATGGTTAATAATCCTTTTGTGATGGCTAATAAATGGTTAATGATTGGATGTCCTTTTCCATCTTGAATCATTAACAGATGGTTCCCCTTAATTAACAACTTTAATAGCTGGATTGATAATGAATAGTCTACCAAACCGGTCCCTCTATTTTTCCCAAAAGGATCATACTGGCAGTGATGGACATATATGATTAATGGTTGATGGTTAATTTATAGCCAATAATTACAACTATAGTATAATATTCATAACAACTTATAGCGAATTGTATTTCTAGGACACTGCGTTACTACTTTTAATTACCCTCTGGTAATTTAATATATGGAACATGGACCATAGATTATTGATTTGATGATTTACCTATTAAACAATGGTGATTTTTCAGTTCGCTATGTTAAATAACCAGAGGTTACACGTGTTTTTTGCCTGGTCTGATGCTAGTGATCCCCCACGGCCAGCGCCAGGAGTTTTCCTATGGCCTTTTCGAATTGCGCGCCAAGATTGACACGCGACCAGGCGCTGGTCGGATGAATGGCACTGAGGGACCGGAAAGGGGACCTGGGAATCAAAAGTGGTTGGGTTAACATCTGATATGGCCGATACGGCTGATGATGTGGTTATAACATGTTATAACTATTGAATGTTTGGTACACGATCATAGCTAACCAACCAGGATAGTTGAAACCATTAGCTATGTGATTTACTATATATGTTGATTATATGTTTAGTAATGCATGGTTAATCATAGGGAACCACCTGCCATTTTACGGATATACAATGGGGGGATTTGCAACGGACATGATGGTGGGTTGCCATGTGCCATGGCTGCCTAATGATGGTAGGACGACCACAACCCTAATATACCATCCAACTCGATCATGTCACACAATATATATATATATATCTATGTATATATGTATAAATACACTCATACATATACATTGAATCCCAAAAATGGGATATTCCATTCATCTAACTGGGGTATATTTGCAGGTTTTTTTTGCCACTTCGACTTGCCGGGATGCGCTTGAAGTTGGAAAGAGACTGGCTGGTGGTTTCAAGCATTTCTCCTTTTTCCCAATTTTTCACAAATCTACCCGTAGTCGCAGAGTGAAATATAGGATGTTCATGTTTGTGGGGATGTTTTTCAATACATATTTTAAGCGTTGATCAGAGCTCAAAACAGTTCTGGTTCATCGACAAATATCATCAGATATCTACAAGTTTGCCACCATTGATTTGTTTGCTTGATTTTTTAAAACCCATCAACAACCCATGAAATATATCCATTGTCTTGCACTTATCTTTAAACTTTATACTATTCTCCTTTATATCCCGATGAAATACCCCCACGAGACTCTCATCAAAGTCAAAGACCCATGAAATATCCCCATTGTTGTTGTATTACATCCTTCATGGTTGGTTCAACCCCTTTTTGTACGGGTTAAACCAGCATTTTACATCACATATCCATGTAAAGATATACATATAATTTCATGTAAATTACGTTATTATTTAAAACAATATATCGATATATATCGATTATAATGATTACATTTACAAATTGTTAAATAGAATACTTCATATCCATTTCACTTGGAGGTTTCCGTTTCGTGCCCCCAAAATCAATGCCAGGTGCCTGGTCGAGCTGGTGGGCCATAGGCGCAGCATAAAATAGTGGTGATTTAACCAGAAAACATGTGATTTGGTCAGTTGAAAATTGGGATTTCAGCCACGTAAATGGAGATTTGATGGGATGTGGGGACATCACCAGCAAAATGATGAGAATTTTGCAGATATACCCTCTGGTAAATTAACATAGCTATTGAAAATGGCCATAGAAATAGTGGATTTACCCATTAAAACCAGTGATTTTCCATAGCTATGTTAGTTTACCAGAGGGTAATGCAGATATAGGCAGCAAAATCCGCGTACGTGAACGGGGCAGAGTCGTTCCGTTGTTCGAGTATCAGAGGGAGTGTTTTTAGCTCGTTTTTTTCGGCAGCCGTGGAGTCCAGCGGATGGTTCACCATTTGTTGCGCTTCGGTTATGGGATGTACCCTCTGGTAAACGTTTACATAACTATGGAAAGATCCACCATCTTTCATGGGAAAATCCACTATAAATTGTGGATCTTTCCATAGTTATGTTAGTTTACCAGAGGGTAGATGGATTTTCGACAGATCCACTAGTCACTAGAAGTTAAACTCTTAAGGGATCAAGGATCAACAACCACCAAGTGGATTCAAGTGGATTTACTGTCGCTGAATTTTTGGGAACTGCCAGGTCATGGGGAATACCGGAATACCCAAAGCTACAGTTCGGCTCGGCTTGAGCTACCAGAACATGTGGACCTCAAGTAACCCCCCCCTGAGTGCTTAAGTGAAAGTGGATTATTGTTTGCTATTCAGGAGGACTGTTCATCTGACCAACTATCACAAATGAGAGCAATCGCAATTTTGTGGGATCCAAATAATGTGTCCACTCACTGCCATAAAAATCATGGGTTTTCCTCATTAGCAATCTGACAGTCAAAGGACTCCGGGGCTACCCTAAGAGTGGCAGTCCACCATTAATCCACTTGGTGACCAACTATTTTTTTGACATTCTTATTGTTATGAAATATGAAACTGTAGATTTCGGAGGTTTTCCAGTCACATTAAGGGTTGGATGACCAGTATGGGGAGCTGATGACCATTTCGCATGGTTCGCAAGTCCCGCAACCTGTGTTATCACATGTATGAGCATGAGCAGTTTCGAAAAAAGTGTTGATCGATGATTTCTTTAAGGATTGTATTAGCACTAAAAGATCCCTTGAAAAATATTTTTGGGATTACCCTCTGGTAATTTAACATAGCTATTGAAAATCACAATTTTCAATGGGTAAATCCACTATAAATGGCCATTTTCAATAGCTACGTTAAATTACCAGAGGGTATCATGGATTTTCCTGTTATCCAAAAAGAGGATTCCAAGCATGAAGACCAACCACTATTATACCATGCATTTTCACCATACTGTGAATAATTTGTGGATTAGACTACCATTGCCATGTTTTTTTTTAACACAGTTCTAGATATTACATTAAGATACCACACAGCAAACCATTATTCTCTTTTGCAATAAGTTCAACTGACACTGCTCAGTCGTGGATTCTACGCATATTTCCAGTCCCCGTGCTTGGCATGGTACCCGCAGTACTTGGATGTGCATTCCAGCTAGTATTTCTTAAGTAGCTGGTATTAAGAATCAATGGTCAATGAGATAAATGGGGTTTATTCACATAGTACTGGGCTTATCTTACTTGAACCGTTCAACTGGTTGTTTGTAAAATGTGTATCCCTAAAGTATCTATGCATCCCACATACCAGCTTATCCAACAGTTTTGATTCATATCCCATCTACCCTCTGGTAATTTAACATAGCTATTGAAAATGGCCAGTTACAGTGGATTTTCCCATTAACATGGTGATTTTCCATAGTTATGTTAGTTTACCAGAGGGTAACATCCTTACTGTATATCTCATTCCTTACTGTCGTGGCTATGCTCCCTGCATCCACCTGCATCCAGGCGACTTCGACTTTGTGCCCTGGCCGAAGAACGGCCAAATCGACATCTTAGACGCCTTTCAACACATGTTGAAAGCCAGTGTCACTTGGAAGCGGACCACGGAAACACTTCAGTTGTGAGGTCCTGTTGGGAGACTTATGGAGACTTGGACCACGGCGAGTCTCGGTGTTTTTTTATGGGGCCTCGACATAAATGCTTTTCAAGTTTCGACATAAATCGCCGTAAAGATTAGGGGAATTTTCGATGGGTAACAGTAGCTGTTGAGAACCAGCTTTCTTCACAGCCTGATTTTGAGGAGACCTGACAGGTTAATTATTTGCAGCTTAAGGATATAGACATTTCAGGTTTTGAGCAATATTGTTTGGTCAAAGACAGGGGGCACCCTGAAATTGAGGTGAAGTCAACCAAAAAGATCAAAACTTGATAGCGTTTGACAATGCCTATGCATTTGTACTTGGGTTGTTATTCAATCAAGTAAATTCTCCGCTTTATATATGTGCTTCTAGGGACTCATAGAGGAATACTGTATATGACGATATGCACTTGTATGACGCGGGTTGTACATGCTGGATGCGGATTGATTCCATATGATAGGATAAAATGACCAGAACTGGAATTTCAACCCCCAGATGAATGAAATTTCTTTGATTAACTAGGGGGTACCCCGCCAAATAGTGCTGCCATCTACTACTAAACTGGTTTTACATATATATATAATGATACATATTGTAACCCTGAAATGATCACTATCATCATTACTCTACAAAAAAATGGTTTATATACATACATACATACATATATATATATATATACATATACAATCATATACACATCTGATAGCCTTCAAATGTTTACTATCATTATTTCTCTCATAAGAGATCTCGTCATCGATCACACGGAGCCCTAAGAATCGGCACATTTTATTCTTCAACTCCTTGTGCCAGCGGCAATGACCATTCCATTGCGGGACGGGACCATACTAGTGGCGTGGGAGCACGGGACACAGAAGCGACCTCACTGTTCTCCCTCACTATAACCATAGTTACTAAGGGGAATCATCCCAAAATGGCCGCAAGATTCAGGTTAGTGAAATATTATAATTTACCCATATATATATAATAATAACAAATAATGATAATAATTAATAATGATAAGAATAATATATATATATACACATCAAAAACGAAGTTTACTTTGATATGAAACTGATATAGATGATATAGTGGCTATTTCAGCATAGAGCCACTTAAAATCCATGATCACGTTGATATCTGTTGATATATATATATATTATATTATATATATATATGTCCACAGTCAGTAATTTCCACAGTGGCTATTTAAGATCCATAGGTATTCACTTCAAATACCCTCTGGTAAACTAACATAGCTATGGAAAATCGCTATTTTGAATAGGTAAATCAACGAACTAAACAAGGGATCTCTGGATTGGTTGAAGGGAACATCTTAACCGGAAACCCATGGGTTTTCCGCATCAAATATAGTGGAGATTGTCCCAATCCAGTGATCCATTGGTTATAGTTAATGGAAAAGCAATCCAGTGGAAACCAATGGAAAATCTCCACCAAATTTTCCATAATATATGGGATGTCATCCTTCCCATTGACGAAGTCATATTTTTCAAGATGGTTATTGCACCACCAACCAGTAGAAGTTTCCGCATCAAATTTTCCCTAGGTGACTCATGCTGGAGAATCGGGGCTGCCCAGCAGTGCCATCCAACACGCAGGCACGGAGCTGGGACCTTGGGAACCTTGGGAACCATGGCGCCATGCCGAGACAGGGTAGATTTATATTCCACCATTAGTGGACATAGTCTGATGATATATACATATGTATGTAGATATATATATATATATACAGTTGTTACTGTATGTGTTTAGTTATTTTGTTGTACAAGAATGGGACAATATGCAACTATCTGACGCTGACGTGACGTCAAATTGGATGGTCATGTCCAAGAATAGTGGAATATGATATAGATACACGTTTTATCTATCGTGGTATATATATTTATTTCTGAAGAAAAAATGGATATGTCATCCCCAGAAAGATGCAACAGGAAATCAAATCCCTTCTAATTTCATGAGGTCTTGCTTTTCTACCTTTTTAAAGGTTACTATAATAATCTATAATATAATAATATATGTATATATTATATACATATCTAACCCACATGGTGTTAATGAAAAGCCATGGGTTTCCTTTTTTTCGTGGTCGCAATCCGACAAGGTGCTCGAATGTTGGACCGAGACTGGGAAAAGAACCTCGACGAGACGTCGACGGCATGCGGTTTCTACGTTGGACCTATGGAAATGGGTGATTTATGAACCAAGATATGATATGGGGGATCCCCAAGTCACCACAGGTTTCAATGCTAGAATGGTCTAATTTGGATGACACTTCTAAGATATGGGGTTTCTTAAGTCATGGGGGGCTTTCATAGATGTGTCACAGTACGTTATCCACAAAGGGAGTATCATACACTATATTTATATATACATATATATATACACACATATCTATCTAAAAACCAATATATATATATGATATATATACATATATATATAGTACCTATTATTCAAATGTAGTGACAGCATTGATGCAATTGGGTTTCCTTAGATGGAGGGCATCTCTTCTCACTATCTACGATCTCGCGAAAAGTTTTAAACCTAGCGGTGGTGCGCGCATGATAGATAAGAATGGATGAACATTCGCCATTTAGTTCGATGGTTTACCAAAACATTAAACTGCGCGAATTGACCTTGTTTGGGCTATGGGAAGAGGGTACGGTAAGCTGGCCCCCCCGGGAATTTAGCATCACAAGGAAACATTCCCAATAACTAAATCATGATACAGAAATCATCCAGACATGTGGGTTTTAAACTATTTTCATGGATTTCCCACGGCCATGTCAGAAATTGAGGATGTATTTCGCTACCCGTACTGAATATTTTTTCAGCTCAACACACAGTTCCGAGTGCTTCCAACCTCAAGATCTACCAACATATCCTGTTCAGTTTTTATCTGCGATTTTTTTTAGATACCCTCTATTTCCCTCTGGTTATTTTTACATAGTTGCTCAAAAATCACCATTTCTAACGTATATATATATATATATATATATAGGTAAATCATGGAACTAAATGGCCGTCTTGCGGGAGGGTTTCTTTTCCATGAATCACCATGATTCACCATTAATCATCCTGAAAACCATGACTAACAATGATAATCCATGGCCTATTCTATATCTGAATGGCTATCCAGTTATCCAATAGGATTACCCTCTGGTAATTTAACATAGCTATTGAAAATGGCCCATTTATATTTGATTTACCTATTAAAAATGGTGATTTTCAATAGCTATGTTAGTTTACCAGAGGGTATCATGGCTAGAGGACATGTGAAACTCTGAGAGTTCATCCTGCACAGACATGGCCAATCCCTGGTGGTTTTCTCTTCAAACGCACAAAAAGTCACGTGTGGATGGTGGGACATAGTTATGTACTCCAAACAACTAAAAGAATAAAGGGAAAAAACTGGATGGTTGAATGTTGTACATGTGTCCTTTCTTTCATTTTTTGTTCACCCACACATTCTCATGAAAATGCCTGAATCATTCATGGAAAGTGGGGATCAACAAGAACAATCTTGCAGTGCCAGCCAGCCATAGCCATGGCCAACCAGGTATTACCACACCTGGCAACTGGAGTGGGATAGCGACTTCATCCAGATTCGTGTGGATGGTGAAACGCTGCTGAAGGTGCTATCAGTGTTGGTTTTCCATGAAGATTCTGGCTGAAGCTTGGTGATTGATGGGTACCAACGGTACCAACCTCAAGATACAGCTAGCATGAGCATCATTAGCGGCCAGCAAACATGTGGGATATGATGGGATAATGGTGGGATGTCCAATCATAAACCCACTAAATGATGGTGATATGATGGGGATATGATGCATGAGTGGTTGGTTGGACAAACAATGGGATACCCGACCTTTTTTCGGAGCTTGGAACCCGGTTTTGCATCTTAAAATTGCATGTTTGTGTCTTTTGTTCTTCTAAAACTTATATCAAGTCAGTGTATGTATAAATCAAATACAATCAGATATGTATATATATATATTATAAGCCTAAGCTTTTGCCCCCATGGAGATGTAAGAACATATTTCACTATAGAGAGCTACATGGTCTAAAGTCTAAAACCTTTTCACCCCCTTCGCGTTTTCGTTCCCATTATATCCCTTGAAAATGGTTGGTTCTATACCCATATTCTTGTTTGTTCCATGACAATTTATAGCTATTCATAGATGGTTAGTTGAATCACCAAACAATTTAATTTCATTTCTATATTAGGGGGTTTATAGTAGATGTGGTATATACTCTAAGCCTTCGTTTACCATGATTTCTAAGGTTTCCACCTGTTTCTATAGCCATTTCATAACTATTCCCATTAAATTATATTCCCATGTTTCCATAAGCAATTTTCCATGAAATCCCCTTAAAATCACATTCAGATCCCGTTAAAGTCACATCCAAATGCCATAAAAATCACATTTAAATCCCCTAAAATCACATTTTGTTCAATGAAATCCCATTTAAATCTAAATCCTCTAAAGTCACATTTTGTTCAATGAAATCCCATTAACATCCCCTAAAACTACCTTTTTGCCGCTGATTTTTCCCTTTTTTCGGCTGGCCATGTTTCGCCTCGGCAGGTGGATCTCAAGGTGGCGGACGCGGTGCGGACCTCGTGGCCCAATCCCTTCACGCGCGCCAAGTGCCTTGGTGAAGATTTCGGGAAAAAACATATAGGATTGGTGATAAACATGTGAAATAAACTGGTTGGTGGTTTGGAACTATATATAATATCTATATATATATATATCTATTAATTATGGACTATGGATTATGGATTATCATATATATATATAATAGATCTGGTTGGTGGTTTGGAACATGAATTTGATTTTTCCATTCAGTTGGGAATGTCATAGTCCCAACTGACAAACTCATATTTTTCAGGGGTTGCAACCACCAACAAGAAAAGGGTTGTCTTATTCCTTTTTTTTCTGGAGCCATGACAAAATGGCTGGTTCTACAGCCCTATCCTTGGTTCGTGTTGTAAAAGGATCATGAATTGTTTGTAAATGAAAAAAGTTGAACGTTGGAATCCCATTCGCCCGGTGGGGCCCAGTTATGTTTGTTAATAAAGAAAATGGTTGGCCCCACCTTAATTGTGAACTTAGCAGGTTATAAGTTATATGATAATTATATATATATATATATGTTTATTGACGAAATGATGAAACTATATAAGTGGCTGTGAAATATGTTTCCTAGCTGATTATTAGCAAACACTAATGATTTGTGTATCTGATGATTGATAAACAGTGGTTAAACGTTGATGATTATGAAATAAGTCTGACAGTTTAAGTTGACTGTTGATCAATCATCTATGATCGCAAGAAATGGTGGACTTACAAGCAGCAATAAATATCGGATTATATGGGATATTTTTGGGATATTTTCAGGAGATAATCGATAATTGATAGATGATAGTTGATATGTCTGGGTCAACCTTGGGTCAGTCGATCTTTACCACAACACGTTTGCAAAGAAAATGATCGTGACACATCTACCATCTCTAGATCATGTTCCTAGATTTTCTTGGATTTTTAATAGAGTATCCATCTTGGTTCACCGATGTTGAACCTAAAGACAGGATTATTTTTCTGGTTCAAAGTGATCTTTTGTTCTATCCATTTCAAAGGATGGGATTGTTGGTCCTGGCCCTTTGAGTCCAACATGGTGTAGAAATCCTTGGTGGCTTTGCCGACCTGCTGACCAGGAAGTTCTTCCTGATCCTGAACTTGGCCATCGGAGGTCATGCCGGAGGACAAGCGGAACCGGGCCGGAACGGGCCGGAACGGGGGGACGAAGTCCGATCACCTTTTTGATCTTTTTGGGGGTTCGAAGCAGTGACAAAGTAGGAGAACCCTCCACTGTTTGGGTTGATTTTCTGGAAAAAAGATTTAAGCAAACATCATCACACCATGGTGAACGTGCCATGCCAAGCCATAGGGGTTTCCATTGGTTTCGGGGGATGCAGCGGACCCTGGAGTATGGTAGTTTTCATCGGTTAGTTTATGGAAGCCAGTCTAATATAATTCTGGAATATTGACATGGAGCATTTCATAGCATTTCCATTTCTTTTAGGGTTGCGCAACTTATGTACAACTTATGTAAGGTCAATGATTCTCACTTTTGGGGAAATGGGTGATGATCCCACTTTACTTAACCAATTTAGCCTCCTATCTCGAGCCGATTCCTGATCTCAGCGTAGCTAGTCACTGGGAGGAAGTCGCGATACGAGCAAAGTCGACTGGTTATGTTTTTGTTCATCTACCGGTACCATTTTGACCCTGTTGGAGTTATATACTGTATATATATGTATATAGATACGTACATATATATATATATATACAATACGTATATATATATACTGGTTTGTTTGGAACATTTTTTATTTTTCCATATATTGGGAATGTCATCATCCCAACTGACGAACTCATATTTTTCAGAGGGGTAGGTATACCACCAACCAGTATATGGAATATACCCTCTGGTAATCAAACATGGCTGGAAAATCCTCCATATTTAAGGGCTGCCGCCCCTGCCGCCGACCCCGGTAAAGAATCGGGGATTGCTGGTGAAACAGGCAAGCTGTGTGACGAGAAACTTTGGCAAATGCATTATCACATGCAGGATCATGCACGAAGGGCTATGTGCGTCACTACGAACGTATGTCTGTCCAGCTTGCGGCAAAGCTACAAAATCCACCATAGTTACCGGAAAGGTGCAAACACAAGGACACTGCGGGCGAGAGTTTCGTGTCAAGAATGGTGCAGTATATAGGCAGTATGCCCATTATTGCCCGACCTGCAACACGAAGGTGGCATCAACAAAATCACACGGACGAATCCAATCGAAACACAGAAATGACACAGGACGATATTGTAAAACATATCAGTGGACCAGTGCCGGCGCAAAGTAAGTTTTTAGATTTAAACAATTATTCTCTTCCTCCTCCTCCTCCTCCTTCTTCTTCTTCTTCTCCTGTTGTTCTTGTTCTTGTTTTTCTTGTTGTTGTTGTTGTTGCTGTTGCTGTTGCTGTTGCTGTTGTTGTTGTTGTCGTTGTCGTTGTTGTTGTTGTTGTTGTTGTTGTTGTTGTTGTTAATGTTGTTGTTGCTGCTGCGGATGTTCGTGCTCCTGCTCCTCGTGCTGCTGCTGCTCGTGCTCCCGCTGCTGCTGCAGACACCTTTTTCGAAGCACAGCTGAAACGGCAAAACACCACCTAATTTCGTGCGGTTCGGTAATGAAGCAAAGCACCACCTAATTTCGTGCCGAAAACGACGCAAAAGCAGTTGCAATAACAGTCCCCGGAGGCTGGAACGTCCCTTCGGAAATCCGCTTAGAACTCCAATAGAATCAAATTTTGACTGCTGCTGCTAGTGCTGCTGCTGCTGCTGATACTGCTACCATCAAGTTTATGTTCCTGCACTGTGTCCAATGCCGCTTGCAGTTTGTTATGTTCCTGCACTGTGTCCAATACCGCTGCTGCTGCTACTGGTAGTGGTGGTGGTGGTGGTGGTGGTGGTGGTGCAGGTGCTGGTGCTGGTTGTTGTTGTTGTTGTTGTTGTTGTTGTTGTTGTTGTTGTTGCTATTTTGCTGTTGTTGTTATTGAGCAAGGAAGCTGCTGCTCCTACTGTCTGCTGGCTACTACCCGCTGCCTGCTGGCTGCCTGCTGCTGGCCTGCTTACTGGCTGATGGCTCCTGGCTGCTGACAACTGGCTGCCTGCTGCCTGCTTACTGGCTCTGGCTGCTGCTGGCTGCTGGCTGCTGCTGCTCTTGCTCCTGCTGCTACTGCAGACACCTTTTTCGAAACACAACCGAAACAGCAAAACACCACCTAATTTCATGCCAAAAATGACGTAAAATCCGTCGTAATAACAAATTCCCCGGAGGCCGAAACAGCCCTTCTGAACTCCGACTAGAAATCCTGACTCCTGCTGCTGTCTAAAGCAAGAAACTAGCAGCCTAACACCATTTGCGAAACATAGCCGAAACCAAAACACCACCGACTTTCGTGCCGAAAATGACGCAAAAGCAGTCGCAATCACAAGTTCCCCGGAAGCCAGTTGCAATAACAAGCTTCCCGGGGGCCGAAACGTCCCTTCTGAAATCCTACTAGATTACTAGAAATCCAATTGTGTCCAATTTTTTTCTCAAATTTTGACTGCTGCTGCTACCTATAATAAAGCAAGAAACCAGCAGCCAGAGACATTTTTTAAAACACAGCCGAAACAGCAAAACACCACCTAATTTCAGACCGAACATGACGCAAAATCAATCACAAGAATAGGTTTTCGGGGGCCGAAACGTTCCTTCTGAAATCCTACTAGAAATCCAATTTTGTCGAACAGAAATCCAATTTTGTCTAATTTCAATCTCTAATTTTGACTGCTGCTGCTGCCTATAATAAACCAAGAAACCAGCAGCCAGACACCTTTTTTGAAACACAGCCGAAACAGCAAAACACCACCTAATTTCCTGCTGAACATGACGCAAAATCAATCACAATAATAGGTTTTCGGGGGCCGAAACGTCCCTTCTGAAATCCTACTAGAAATCTAATTTTGTCCAATAGAAATCTAATTTTGTCCAATTTGATCTCTAATTTTGATTGCTCTGCGTTGCTTCTATATAAAGCAAGAAACCAGCAGCCAGACACCTTTTTTAAAACACACAGCCGAAACAGCAAAAAACACCACCTAATTTCGTGACGAACATAACGCAAACTCAATACAATAATAGGTTTTTGGCGGGGGCCGAAACGTCCCTTCTGAAATCCTACTAGAAATCCAACTTTGTCCAATAGAAATCTAATTTTAATCAAATTTGATCTCTAATTTTGATTGCTGCTGCTGCCTCTAATAAAGCGAGAAACCAGCAGCCAGACACCTTTTTTAAAACACAGCCGAAACAGCAAAACACCACCTAATTTCTTGCCGAACATAACGCAAAATCAATCACAATAATAGGTTTTCGGGGGCCGAAACGTCCCTTCTGAAATCCTACTAGAATCCAATTTTGTCCAATTTTGATCTCTAATTTTGACTGCTGCTGCTACCTATAATAAAGCAAGAAGCCAGCAGCCAGACACCTTTTGTAAAACACAGCCGAAACAGCAAAACACCACCTAATTTCGTGACGAACATAACGCAAAATCAATCACAATAACGTCCCTTCTGAAATCCTACTAGAAATCCAATTTTGTCCAATAGAAATCTAATTTTAGTCAAATTTGATCTCTAATTTTGATTGCTGCTGCTGCCTCTAATAAAGCGAGAAACTAGCAGCCAGACACCTTTTTTAAAACACAGCCGAAACAGCAAAACACCACCCAATTTCGTGCCGAACATGACGGAAAATCAATCACAATATTAAGTTTTCGGGGGCTGAAACGTCCCTTCTGAAATCCTACTAGAAATCCAATTTTGTCCAATTTTGATCTCTAATTTTGACTGCTGCTGCTACCTATAATAAAGCAAGAAACCAGCAGCCAGACACCTTTTGTAAAACACAACCGAAACAGCAAAACACCACCTAATTTCGCGCCGAACATAACGCAAAATCAATCACAATAATAGGTTTTCGGGGGCCGAAACGTCCCTTCTGAAATCCTACTAGAAATCCAATTTTGTCCAATAGAAATCTAATTTTAGTCAAATTTGATCTCTAATTTTGATTGCTGCTACTGCCTCTAATAAAGTAAGAAACCAGCAGCCAGACACCTAATTTCGTGCCGAACATGACGCAAAATCAATCACAATAATATACCAATGTTTATAGTTTTCGACCAATGTTTATACCACTGTTTGTTGCTGCTGTTGCCTCTAATAAAACGAGAAACCAGCAGCCAGACACCTTTTTTAAAACACAGCCGAAACAGCAAACACCACCCAATTTCGTGCCGAACATGACGGAAAATCAATCACAATATTAAGTTTTCGGGGGCCGAAACGTCCCTTCTGAAATCCTACTAGAATCCAATTTTGTCCAATTTTGATCTCTAATTTTGACTGCTGCAGCTACCTATAATAAAGCAAGAAACCAGCAGCCAGACACCTTTTGTAAAACACAGCCGAAACAGCAAAACACCACCTAATTTCTTGCCGAACATAACGCAAAATCAATCACAATAATAGGTTTTCGGGGGCCGAAACGTCCCTTCTGAAATCCTACTAGAAATCCAATTTTGTCCAATAGAAATCTAATTTTAGTCAAATTTGATGGATCTCTAATTTTGATTGCTGCTGCTGCCTCTAATAAAGCAAGAAACCAGCAGCCAGACACCTTTTTTAAAACACAGCCGAAACAGCAAAACACCACCCAATTTCGTGCCGAACATGACGGAAAATCAATCACAATATTAGGTTTTCGGGGGCCGAAACGTCCCTTCTGAACTCCTACTAGAAATCAAATTTTGTCCAATAGAAATCTAATTTTAATCAAATTTGATCTCTAATTTTGATTGCTGCTGCTGCCTCTAATAAAGCGAGAAACCAGCAGCCAGACACCTTTTTTAAAACACAGCCGAAACAGCAAAACACCACCCAATTTCGTGCCGAACATGACGGAAAATCAATCACAATATTAAGTTTTCGGGGGCCGAAAATCCTACTAGAAATCCAATTTTGTCCAATTTTGATCTCTAATTTTGACTGCTGCTGCTACCTATAATAAAGCAAGAAACCAGCAGCCAGACACCTTTTTTAAAACACAGCCGAAACAGCAAAACACCACCTAATTTCGTGACGAACATAACGCCACCTAATTTCGTGACGAACATAACGCAAAATCAATCACAATAATAGGTTTTCGGGGGCCGAAACGTCCCTTCTGAAATCCTACTAGAAATCCAATTTTGTCCAATAGAAATCTAATTTTAGTCAAATTTGATCTCTAATTTTGATTGCTGCTGCTGCCTCTAATAAAGCGAGAAACCAGCAGCCAGACACCTTTTTTAAAACACAGCCGAAACAGCAAAACACCACCCAATTTCGTGCCGAACATGACGGAAAATCAATCACAATATTAAGTTTTCGGGGGCCGAAACGCCCCTTCTGAAATCCTACTAGAAATCCAATTTTGTCCAATTTTGATCTCTAATTTTGACTGCTGCTGCTACCTATAATAAAGCAAGAAACCAGCAGCCAGACCCCTTTTGTAAAACACAACCGAAACAGCAAAACACCACCTAATTTCGTGCCGAACATAACGCAAAATCAATCACAATAATAGGTTTTCGGGGGCCGAAACGTCCCTTCTGAACTCCTACTAGAAATCCAATTTTGTCCAATAGAAATCTAATTTTAGTCAAATTTGATTGATCGCTAATTTTGATTGCTGCTGCTACCTCTAATAAAGCAAGAAACCAGCAGCCAGACACCTTTTTTAAAACACAGCCGAAACAGCAAAACACCACCCAATTTCGTACCGAACATGACGGAAAATCAATCACAATATTAGGTTTTCGGGGGCCGAAACGTCCCTTCTGAACTCCTACTAGAAATCCAATTTTATCCAATTTTGATCTCTAATTTTGACTGCTGCTGCTGCCTATAATAAAGCAAGAAACCAGCAGCCAGACACCTTTTTTAAAACACAGCCGAAACAGCAAAACACCACCTAATTTCCTGCCGAATATGACGCAAAATCAATCACAAGAATAGGTTTTCGGGGGCCGAAACGTCCCTTCTGAAATCCTACTAGAAATCCAACTTTGTCCAATAGAAATCTAATTTTGTCCAATTTGATCTCTAATTTTGATTGCTGCTACTGCCTCTAATAAAGTAAGAAACCAGCAGCCAGACACCTAATTTCGTGCCGAACATGACGCAAAATCAATCACAATAATATACTAATGTTTATAGTTTTCGACCAATGTTTATACCACTGTTTGTGCAATAAGATATAGAACCCTCCTGTTGCTCCTGTTGCTGCTGCTGCTCATGGCCACCACTTGAAACGCTGAAACGCCACCTAATTTCGTGCCCAAAACGCTCCAAAATCGAGCCCAAAAAGTGCCTAACGTCCCTTCTGAAATCCTAGGAAAAAAAAGAACTGCCTTTGTGATGATAACCGTCTTGTCAAACACCTTCTATTTCCTCCTGCTGCTGCTGCTGCTCCTGCTCCTGTGACTCCTTCTGTTCAAAAGGCACCTGCCGGATGGGAAAACACCATGGCAGTAGTAGTAGTAGTAGTAGTAGTAGTAGTAGTAGTAGTAGTAGTAGTAGAAACGCTGAAACGCCACCTAATTTCGTGCCCAAAACGCTCCAAAATCGAGCCCAAAAAGTGCCTAACGTCCCTTCTGAAATCCTAGAAAAAAAAAGAATTGCCTTTGTGATGATAACCGTCTTGTCAAACACCTTCTATTTCTTCCTGCTGCTGCTGCTGCTCCTGCTCCTGTGACTCCTTCTGTTCAAAAGGCACCTGCCGGATGGGAAAACACCATGGCAGTAGTAGTAGTAGTAGTAGTAGTAGTAGTAGTCCGAAACAAGAGTCAAAAGTATTATTCCCTGGCACGCTCCCCCTTGCGTCTGCCGGGGTCGGCGGATATTGACTGCTGGCTACTGGCTGGGTGCTGCTGTCTTATTCCCTAACGCGCTCCCCCTTGCGCAGCCGGGGTCGGCGGATATTTGGAATATTCATCCCACCAACTAGTATGATACTGGATACTAGTGAGTTCAATATACTAGTTCAGAGGGGTAGGTCAACCACCAACCAGTATCTATTTGGGGTTTATCCATACCCTCTGGTGAACATACAAAAAACTATGGAAAATCACAATTTTATAGCTGGGTAAATCAACCCTATAATATATATATATATATCCAATGTTTTTTGTTGCTACGACTCAATCTCCGAGAATCTCTGCTGGTCTTCAGGAGATGCCACGTTGACAGAGTTTCCCATGGAACTTCGTGTGGACTACATCCGCGACCCGGCAACGCTTGGTGGGTTTCACCATGAATACTGGTGATTTTGAGGGATATATATATATATATATAATCACCACCCCTTGAAGGCCACTTTTCAGGGGGGACCGTACCAAAATATAAGCTACATTTTTTGGGACCGCCCCTTAAATTGGTTGCTGAACGTCCCCCAGGTGTCGTTTCTGTGGGGAGGGTCTTCAAAATACCTTCAAAATGTAAGCTTACATTTTCAAGGCCCCCCTCAAAAACACCTTGAAAAATGTAGCTTACATTTTGGGTACGTCCCTTCTCCTTAAAACGGTGATAATATATATATATATATATAAGGAATCACCATGATGGTGACTTATATTTCTACACCAACTTCTATTCATCATATATAGTAGGATTTCGTTAGCTAAGTTGGTGGTTTATAAATGTTTATAACTCATACATTTCACTGTGGTTCTACCATCAATTCCTCATGAACACTGGATTTCATAGGAATTCGTTCGACGAGTTGGTGAACACAATTAGTTGGTGAACATACCCTCTGGTAAACATAGAAAAAACTATGGAAAATCACCATTTTTAATGTGTAAATCAACTATAAATGGCCATTTTCAATAGTTATGTTATGTTAGTTTACCAAAGGGTAACTCATATTTCACGGGTTGGCAGTGCAATACCAACCTGGTGACGGGTCTACTTAGTGCAGGCCACCACAGATATGGGGCTACAACCATGGTGAAATATCGCCAGTGGAAGTGCACCCCTGGTGAACTTATGATTACCCTCTGGTAATTCAACATAGCTATTGAAGCTATTGAAAATGGTGATTTATAGTGGAATTACCATGAATTACCCATTGAAGATGCTGATTTCCCATAGTTATGTTAGACCCAGATCGCCCACTTCCGCAGTGCTGAGGTGTGTTTCAGAAGAGGGGCTACACATCCTGAAGGGTCCCAGACAACTTCCGACGTCCGCGGCGAAAAAAGTTGGGCTGCCTGTTGCGGATGCCTGGGTAAAGCTGTGGTGGAATGTGATCAATATGCCCGGTGAATCGATGTGATTTTCTTAAGCTTAGCATTTTTTCAACATGAATCATCAACCAAAAACTTGTTGTTTTAGACGCCCCTGGAAGATGACGCGAAAAGCTCCTGGATTGATGTGTGCTAGTTTCAAATCACGTTCGAAAAACCCCGCCGGCAAACAATAGATGGCAATTGGACATCCATCAAACTTGTTGTCAAAACGGTAATTGTACCCAAATTTCCACCAAAATTGAATATCCACCAAACACCAAAATTCTGCAACAATTGCAATCTGTTTCCCGAAATTGGGGCACCCCAAAACCATTGTTGTCCCTCATAGAAATGATACTTTTTGGATGATTTGAGTCACAATTTTAGGACCACAAGTTTGACGGGATAGTAAATCAACATAGCCATAGCTATGGAAAATCAATGAAAATCACAATGTTCAGTAGGTAAATGATCTATAACTGGGTTCTTTTCCATAGCTGTTAAAGGGCAATGGCCTGATTTGGATCCATCCCATCCGCCCAACTGAGATGGAGCCTATCTTTGTCCGAGGGGATGATAGCCATGATAGCCATTAGGTAAGTGATTAATGGATCAACTGTCAACTTAATGATTTAATGGATCGTGAAGGGGGATCCTTAACTTTCATCTCTCTCTGATAAATTGGCAGTTTTGGGATTGGATGGATTTTTTGTAACAGATATTAGCATCCCCGAAATACTCCAAGCATCTTGGTCTCAGTCTTTGCTGCTTTTCAGCATCTTGGGATTGTATAAACATGATTTACTCTCCAAGAAACAGACAAAATGATGTGGGATTTACCCACCATACATGTAGATGAAAAAACGAAAGCCGTTCGTTTTCCACATCGTTTTGAAAACGCTTACCCTAGGGTACCGCTTAACCCAGCGCTTAAGCTTTCGGGGGTTTTCAAACCAAACCACCAAGCTTAGGAGCCACGGTTGAGCACTGCACATCCAAGCCTGTTCTATTCATTTGTTGGATGTCGATGATAGTTTTTGAGGGTTTGACCCAAAGTCCCACAGGGTGGTTTTGCAAAAAGAATCCAAGGCCTAGAAGAAATGGTGATCCTAAGAGATGCTAAGTGGATTACTTCTGAAATATGGCTAAAATGATGTTTCACGCCAGTTGCTAAGTAGTTGTTCACCAACTCTATGGCCCATCTAAGTACTAGGGATTATCTACATACTACAAGCCATCTACTGGAAATTCCATCAACAGCTGGTAAAGTTTGGTTTGCTTGGTCAATGGGTTATTTTTTAAGATACATGGACTACTCTACCGTCCATGTATGGAAAACCAACCATTTATGGATCGTTTCCGAGGTCAATCTTATCAAGGGTAATCCCCCTTTTTTTAAAGATACCTACGTAGGGTTGGCCATCAAAGAGCCGGAGGAGCTTCTTGACAGCAGATTTTGGGCTTGGGTCTCATAGTGCTGGGCTAATCCTCTAGAAATGGGGGATACCAGGATACTACGAAATGTCCATTTCAATGGGGAAGAATAGTTTCTAAACCATTGTGAATTTGGAGGTGCTCAATTTTTGAGACATACCGATTCCCGCCAACCAATTCTTGCTCAAGCTGCAGAAACCACAAAGAAGATGAGGGGCCCACAGCAAATCCCCAGCGGATGGGCAGCACGTGACAATTGACCATTGATCGAAGTTGACGAAAAAGCAAAAGTAAAACATGTGACTTAGAACCTCTATATACATCTGTAATTCTATATACATATGCGAAATGTGTCCAACCTGGAGATCATAATTTCAACATGGTCCGACATTACTCCATGCCTTTCAGGCACTTGCACTTGCGGGTGAAGCCACAGCCATCCACAGCTTCCGGCGCGGAAAAACCGTGTGAAAAACCCATGCCGAGCGGCATGCCTAGAGGTCCTCGTCGTCGAAGCCACCAACGCAACGGGAGGGGGATTTGCCAGTGAGACTTGGGTTTTGGCCGAAAGTTGGGATGCAAGCAGTGAAAATGAGGAGCCATTTAGCCAACAAAAATGTGGTCTTGGATGATGAATTCAGTCAAACATTACGCTTATTGATGGTCATTTGGGTCCTGAATCTTGTTCCACAATTGAAAGATGAGGAAGATGGCTGGATGTGGGCCAACGTTGCCGGGCCCTTCAGTTGAATAATACATGCAAATAAACAAATCAGCTCTGTCATGTCCCAAATTTTCGAGGAAACCCCTTTCTTTCCACTGGAGAATCATCATCTTTTCCATAAATGATGATTTAGGGGGTATATACCCCATTTCTAGATTTGCCCATAGAAAAGGAAAACATTACCTAATTTTTTTGAGACCCTAAGCTGTCACTAATTTTGGGCCCCAAATAATTTTGGATACCAAGTGTTGGATGATTGGCAGGATCAAGTAAAATCTACTGCAGGGATGATGGTTTGTGTTGGGCTAACTATCCCCAAAGTGCTAAAAAGTCAGTTACATTTCGCATGAGAATAACATGAATTCACTTGGTCTCCCAGGGATTTTGGAAATGATCCTCGAAGTATAATCATTTCCCACCAAACTCGTATAATACCCTTCCCATGTCATCCCATGAAACTGGATATGTGAATGGGTTTCCCATATCATCCCACTTGGAAATGTGAATCTCCCATATAAAACTATGGGAAATGATATGTTATATATAAAACCATATAAACCATATAAAACACCACATATAAACCATATTCAGAGGATCATCCCATATTAAAGGCCATAAAAAACCTCCATATCCAACTGGGATGATTTCCATCTGGTTGCAGACCCCGGCATGGCGATGGCAGAGGGCCCGCCCAGCGGATATGAGCCATGCCAGGCGGGAACGGCGGGAACGCGGCGCCAAAATTCCTTAAGCATCTGATATGATTTCATAACTATGGAAAGATCCACCATTTTTCATGGGAAATTTCACTATTTCTATGGTGATTTTCCAGTTCGTTATGTTAAATTACCAGAGGGTAACGAACATAACATGATTTGGCAATTTGTAAGGAACATGAATGAACATGATATCAATATCATTCATATCATTAATATCAGTAGTATCATTAATATCATTAATATGGAATGTCCATGGTCAGCTCTCACGTCATCATGTTGACCAAGAGAGCAACAGTAGTTGGGAAGTGGAAATAGATGGAAATAGTACATCACAGTAACTCTCCGGGAGCTGAAGGCTTCAGACCGCTCCTGCTATGCGGGACAGCTGGCAAAACATTGGCACAGCTGCGCGCACGAAAGACGCAGTCATGTGGTAAAGTTCCTGCCATTTGGGACTGCAGCGGGAGGTTGCCGGAGGCATTGTCCCAGCTTGGGGAATGGGTGGCTCGACAACCCAGGAGCTGATTCAGTCATTGAGCCAGTCAGACATGCAGTCATCCATTCACTTGATCATTGATTAAGAAAAACCTTCATTCATTCATTTATTCTTTCTTTCATTCTCTATTTCATTCACTCAGTCACTCATTCAGTCATTCATCTCTGCATTCATTTACTCACTCACCCACGCAGGCGCTGGCTCACTTGGTCATTCGCTTATTCACTCATTGCCTCACTTGTTCACTCATTCACCCATCCACCCATTCATTCGTTTATTCGTTTATTCAGTCAGTCGATCATTCGTTGATTCATTAAGACATCGATTCCTGGTGACTTACTCCTTGTTCCATTGATTCATTATTATTTTATTCATTTGTTCACTACTGTAATTTATTTTTCATTCCTTCATTGATTCTTGCACGTCATTGATTTTGTTTGCCTTCATGCCATTTCATTTGGCATCTCAAGAATCATTTGCTCATTCGTTGCTGCACCATAACCTCAACCTTTTAGCGTTGCTGAATGTCACAGACATTCCTATACGCCATTGGCTTCTTATAGTCATTGTTCTTTTTCGAAACTTCCGCGTTGGCACGGCCGGGCACTAGTGGTAAATGACATTGTAAATCCATATCAAGATTTGTGCTCGCAATAAGTCCGCCATATTCTGCAGGTTTTTGTGTTCTATTTCTTGTTTGGTTGCTACTTCACCCTGATACTGTACATGATAACTGATTCCAAGTTTTTAATAACCTCTGGTTATTTAACATAGCCATGGGTTTTTCGATGGCCTATAGATGGTTTACCTGGCCTATTAATAGCATGGTGGATCTTTCCATGGTTCAAGCTCCATGTTGAACGGATCGGATCTCCGTGGTTGCCGGTGGGTTCTCAGCCCCTTTGGGGTGTCGGCTGCAGGGCAACGAGCGTGGCGGCGGATCCATGGTGGGATGCTGAGTGTCGTGGGAGCGACTGGAACGGGGGATCCCACAGATTTTTTCGGTTCCAACGACTTGGAAAGGTGGGGTTCACCGGGGATCTGTATGGGAAAATACGATGGAAAATATGGGTTGATTACCAAATGGTTGAATTTTGTGATCATGCAATATTTACTCCGAGTGTTAGGATATCATCCTTAGATTATATGGGAATAGATGGGGTATTAATCACCAAGATATTAGGGACAACCATTAATGGTGGTGTTTAACCAGCAGTAGTGATTTTACCAGCAGCAATGGGGATTGCAGTGGATCTGGTGGAAATAAAAGATCGAACAAAGGCGGGTTTTATAATCATGAAAAGTGGGGAATGAATCAGCAAAAAACATGATGGATTACTGGAATACTGGAATATCATCATTAAATGATAGAGTAGTGTGTTCAAACATGGGTCATGCAAACAATGGACATGAATCCATATTCATCATCCATGTTTATCATCCAGAAATCCATAACCATCATAACTATCCGTTTAACAAAGGCTGTTTTGTTTTTTTTAAATATCATTTTTTAACATACCCTCAGGTAAACAAACATAACTATGGAAAATCACCATTTTTGATGGGTAAATTCACTATTATTTCTATGGGCCATTTTCAATAGCTTTTTGTATGTTTCCCAGAGGGTACCTTTCCGATAGATTTCCCAGTTGCTGTCCTCCGTCTCGAGGCGGCCGTATCTCAGCTCTTCACCCGTCTCGCACAGGAAATTGAGGACTTGTCCTCGCGGAAGCTGTCGTGGTCATGGTCATCCTGGGTGGTTAATAATTTAAATAGGTTTATATAATCTTATATAACATGAACGTAATTTGACAAATTAACTAGTTGAATTAAATGACTATTTCTAATGAATCTAATGTTGTACATTAGCTTTATTTAGTTCACTAACTAATTCATTAATTGATCTGAATTGACTTATAACTGCTCCAACTAGGGTTGATTAAGGGGATACAACATGATATAACGAAATAACGAACTGAGATGCTATAAAGCAGCTTATATCTGAGTGGGCCCCCCTTGTAGTACTTTAATGGGGATAAACTACCCTCTGGCAATTTAACATTCCAAGAATATGTTGATGAGAAGAATTATAGTAAACCCCCAAATTGACCAGTAAAACCATGATTTCCTGTAGATTTTACCATAAACCAACCGAGTGAAACAAATTGTGGATGGAAGAAATCCTGCACCAGTTGGTAAATTGTTTGTCCCGTTGCAATCCTATTATTTGAATGTACAGTGTTTCATAGGTACCAATAGTTACCAACTGGTGAAGGATTTCTGAACCATCCACAGTATGAAAAAAAAAACATTTCCTAGCTTGAGAGGTTCCCGCAGACAGCAACGCTTTCTTAGGGGTGCTGAGGGGTTTTGCCGAACGGTTCCAGGAGCAGAAACCTAAGAACTGCATCCATTTCGTGGTGGATTTCCTGTGCAAGTGCCTTGACTCATGGGATCTCATCGCCCCAAAAGAGTGAACAGTTGGAAAAATGGAAATCTCCAATTAGAATACCATCTATGTCCTGGAAAGACTGTTCTATCATGTTCTATCTCTTTGGGGGGTTACCACAGTTACAGTGGGGATAGGATCGGCATTCCGCATCCCTGTCTCGCCCTGACGCGACCGTTGCTTCCACGGCATGGCGCATGGCTTCGCAAGACGCTTCGTCCTTTGTATGGACAATAACCATCGTTAGCATGTGGATTTAGCTACCAAAACTGTTGGTAGGCTGGAGATGTCATAGGGGTACAGTGGGAATATCAGATATATTTGGACAAGTATGCTGCTCAAGTACCCCATAGCCATCATAAACTATCCATACAACGGGAATATCTGGGTTTAATGGGATGATATGGGACAATGCGACAATACTGTATGTGGTATTGTAAAGGGTTTAATTTAATGTAACCAATGGAATTATGTAATTTTCATGGAAGATCATCCCACAAATTGTAATTGGTCAGTAACTGCGTAGATTCACTAGCTATCAATGGGCTAACTTAAGGTAAGATACTTAACATTAAACACTTATAGGTTTCCTGTTATCTGGTGCTTCATACTACGAATCGTATGTCGGGCAACAAAAACATGGCTACTGTATGTTACTGTTACTGTTTACTGGGATGATCCTTGAAAGCCAGTAGCACCCAGTTGAATCTCCAGCCTATGGAAGCTGTCAGACTTGGCAAGCCAGTAGCCTCTGGTAAACATACAAAAAGCCATTGAACATGGCCATAGTGCCATAGGAAATAGTTGATTTACTCATTGAAAATGATGATGTTCCACAGTTATGTTAGTTTACCAGAGGGTATAACCCTTATACGTAGAATGAGGTGAACGGTGAATGCTGACCGGTTGACGATAGCATTTGCTGCGTCAATTGGATCACCGGATGAAGAAACAAGAATGACTGATTTCCACCAAACCAACATTTACCATTTAGTTATTCGACTAGGGTAATAGTCGATTTTATACGATTTTATGGTATTTACCATTACTATTACTAATTGTAGTAATAGTAACAGTTTGGTTTAATAGTTTATATTATTGATTTTACTGTGTCTGAACATAGGATGCCCTACATCCATCAGTTACCATTTAGTAATCAAACATGGCAATTGAACATCCCCTATACATGGAGGTTGCTGGCAAATTCATCTATACTATATGGAGGTTTCCTAAGTCATGGGGGTACCCCTAAATCATCCATTTATAGATGGATGTTCCATTGCTATGTCTCATTACCAGAGGGTGATCATCCTGAAAGCCCGTTGTGTAGACCCAAACCCTGGATTTGCTGATTTTCCCTAATTTCCCAGTGGTGATCGTCCAGCATTTCTGATGTTTGCTTCTGATGTTCCCTCAAGGAATTCAAAGTTTTAGAATTCTTTGTTTCACTTTGAACATATATGGAGCATTCTATATACATGGATTAGTTCATAGTGATTAGCATTATAATAATGTTCAATAACAGGTCTACAATGAAATTTTAGTATAATGTTCATAGTTCCAATTTTTTGGGGTTTCGCAAATATACATGTTTTTCGCAGTTTTCCCGTTTTCCAAAAAGCAGCCACTGAATCTTGGGCGAAGCAAGGCACTATCCTGAACACTTGCATGGTTTCGCTTCAATCTGGCAGGTGCCGGCAGGAACTCTTGGTGTTCGGATGGTTCTTGAATGGTGCGTATTGATGATTATTCCATGTGATTTACTAATATCAATGATTTTGTAATTGAACGGTTACTTGATTCTTTTAGAATGATTATCCATGTCTATTTATATAATATGTTTTTGTTGTTGCTGTACCTATTAGGGTGTATTCATGTCATATACATCTACATACATACATAAAACTATATTTATATACAATTATATACATATGGCACATGGATCCATGTTTGGGACATATTATCTTTAGGGAATACTGAATGTGAATAGAAAGCAATAGATCCACTCCGTTTGGAGTTGAACATGGGTCCAGTGGATGTGCTGGACCCCTGTTTTTGAAACCTGTGATAGGAGGACCATTTTGATCTAAGTGGGGATACAACCAATACAGAACTGGATTATGCGAACTGGTAACTTCATCCATATTTTTTGATGTCGAATCATATTAATAAGCATAATAAACATAATCATCAGATATTGACGTGATAACTATAATTTTATCATATATCATCATTTGTAGCTCTGTTCATGGTTGGATCAAGCGTACCCATGTTTATCAGATCGTTTGTTCGCTCTGTATCCCAGGATATTCCCTTTGTAAGCCTCTAGATAATCGTGATAAATAACGGAACTGTTATCGAACATTATAATGTATCCCATTATTGATATTATCAACATATATCAGCATATATGGCTAATGCCCCTGTTGATCATGTTAATACTCATAATCATCATAATTCCAATTCCGTTAATAAAGACATTAGAGTTCTAGAATCTTACCCTTTCCCATCTGTAGATCTGTTCATGATTGATCCGACTATACTTGATCATAGCTAAAAGGCATTTTCTCAAGCCCAGATGTAATGTAATGGCACATGATTTTAGAATATTATACAATAAGTTTGATATATTTTAGTATAGTATGATTGATTATCATTATGATTGATGATAGTCATCCCCAAAAGGATAGAAAAGTAAATCACCATTCAAATAATTAAAATTCACTTTTCCAGTTTTGTTGGGATTACTATAAAGTATTAATTTCATATGAGTCATGTATTAATGGCACATGATTCTTGAATATTGTAAATATTATACAATCATCAATGTCATTGATTATCATTACAAATTACGACAATTCCAATCCAATCTGAATCTATGATATTACGATTGATAATCATTGATATCAATAGATGAATATCCATCTAATACAATCCATCATTGATTATCATCCACTATGATACTAGGTGGATATTCATATATTACCCTCCTGTAAATTGACATAGACGCTGACGGATAGGGTTCGGAAGATTAGTTTCCACTAAACATGGTTTATTTTCAGGGTCAAACTGTTGATTTACCAGAGGGTCAATCCCGTTCAATCCTATTAAATCGCATTAAACCATGGTTATTTACCATGAAATCCCATGGTTTTCCCCAATGGTCCGTTCTCCGGTGAATCCGCTGAAGCCCATCTCTCCGCAGATGGACCCAGACCTGGAGCGAGAACGGCACGAGGTGGGAGTTTCACATATCTTCTCAGTTGGGTTTTACCTATTACATCCTATTACATGGCTATATAATAAATGGCTATATAAATGGCTATATAAATGGCTATTTCACATATTCTCATATAAATGGGTCATTTTCCATGGCTATATAAATATGTACCATCTGGTTATTTAACATAGCCAACATAGCCAACATAAATGACCCATTTATAAATGGTTCACCTATTACAAATATGGTGATTTTTCATGGCTATGTTAAATAACCATAGGGTACTCATACTGACTATCATTATAGTTGCTATCTTACAAATTATGATAACCTTGATTTAATAGCAAACATAGTCAGAATTACTATCATCTAATAGTAGTAACAACTGATGACAACAAGGAAATGCTAGATTAGTCATTATCTATTTGAGTACATACGATATTCTGGCCTATAAAATCATAAAGTTATTTGCAGATGAAACTCCACGTTTCTTCGCCGATTATCGCCTATTTATCTCCATGGGAACACATAGAATTGAACACCAATCATAATTGGATACCATGGTGTTAATTTCATTGAACCATGTTGTTAAACATTCATAATTGGACACCAATCATAATACTTTATACCATTTTGATTAAACCATGTTTTTTTCATGATACAATCCTTAAGAGTTGAGTCATAGTTGGATCCACCTAGTAAGTGCTTAATAATCCTGCTGTTCGTAAGTCCCCATTCAGTGGGCTTACGGCTTGTAGAGTGCCTGCAAAGGTATCTACTTGCTCAAAACATGAGATCCAGATAGACATTGTATCATATTGCACATCCTTCAAAATTCGTGGGAAAATGTTTGGGAAATTAAACCTCAATGTTTTCACCTGTATAAAGATATTAGATATAGCCTATTATAGCATTTTGTATAGCATATTTCAACTGTCTAGCAAATTAATATCAATATTCCACCCCATGTATACATATGGTATTTTTTTACTCTATATTAACTACATGTTATCATTCAAATACGATAGGGTACAACTAAGATGAAAATACTCCGGCTAATTAATTATCATTCAGTATATAAACCTACGGTTTGTATCCTATGGTTAATATTGACCATTCAAACATCTTATGGTATATCACGGTATATCCATCTTAGCTATATAGTTAACTATATATTATTAGAAATTTATTAACTATATATTAGAAACTATATATATATATGAGAAACTATATGACTATATATTCTAATATATTAGCTATATATTTTCTATGTTAACAATATATTTCGACATATTTATTCACCGCATCTCACCATTTTTGGACCCCGCTTTACCGAAGCGCGACGAACCGCGAGGTGGTGAATTTCTTCAAGGCGCACAAGATCTCCACCGCCGTGGCAGCGCACTTCACCAACGCAGGGTGCGGCGGTGATTTTTGCCGGAAAAGAAAGGAGATTTGAAGCAACGAAAAATCCCCATTGATTGAATGATAACACTGTTGATTCTAACCATAATTGATAAGATTGTGATTATCAATGGTGATTAGCAACACTAATGGTGATTAGCAACACTAATGGTGATTAGCAACACTAATGGTGATTATCAACAAAATTGTGGTTGATTCTAACCATTATTGATTATCAACAGTCACTAATGACTGGCAAACATGACCGAAAAACTGGTAGGTGGTTTGGAACATGAATTTTATGACCTTCCATATCTTGGGAATGTCATCATCCCAACTGACGAACTCATATTTTTCAGAGGGGTAGGTATACCACCAACCAGAAAATGGGTGATTTAGGCTATATCTGGTGATTTTATATGAACACAGTAAGTAGATTTTTAAGCAATAAACATTCATGAACTATGGTGCATTGAACTGACCCAAACAGGCCCAAAACATGGTGATTTTAACCAACAAACATGGTGATTCAAGACTCACATGTAGCTGGAAATCCCGAAACCCAATTCTTAGGGTTTCCCGTAGTGTTTTCCTCAAAATCAACCAGGCTATTCTCCGAAAATGGTTAACAAATGAACAACATATGTATATATATATATATATTTAATCACAGTATCCTCAAAAATTGGTTCTATGATTAAATACAGTACAGAGTATTTATCCCATAAAATCCCATAGAATCACCATGCACTCCAATAGAGGCCCCATGAAAATATCAAAATTCCATAGAACCCCCCAAAAATCAGGTGTAAAACTATAACATCTCATATAGACTCACCTTAAAATCACCCTAGATCACAGCCTTTTTTGGTCGCTTTCAGGGAAAACATGTCGGAAATTCGCGGAATTTGCTCGCCAGGTATGATACTTTGGATACCTTGACCACCTTATCTCCCGACAGTTTGGTTGATGTGGAGGCGGAGACGTCTGATGGGAATTGTTGGATCCTTTGATGGAACATCCATCAAAAAAAGCTATAAAATCCATAGGGTACATAGAACATGCTTATGGATTTTATTTTGTAATTAATCATTTTCTTAATGGAGATTCATTGAGAAATAACAAGAAACATATTATGATGACTGAACTACTTCGAAGATAGGAGAGCGATAGGAATATATGTGATTGGCATCATTATCTAGGAACATATGGTGTTTATTGTGGTCAGAAATGTGATGTTTCATGTTCTTGGTGTTGATATGACATCATAGATGTCCGGTCCTAAAATCACACTGATTCGTTGATTAGTAGAGGTTTCCCCGCCATGAAAAGCCAAGGATGGAACTGATTGGGTCCAAGATCTACATCCTGGCCTTGGGGCCAGCAATCCCCCAGCAATATTGGTTGTCCCTACAGTTAAATGGTCCCAATGAATATTGGTTCCAATACCCTCTGGTAAACTAACATAGCTATTGAAAATGGCCATTTATCATGGATTTTCCCATTAAAAATGGTGATTTTCCATAGCTATGTTAGTTTACCAGAGGGTAATTTTTTCTAAACCATCCAAACCAGTGATCTATCCGATCTAAACATATCTAAACCATCCCACAGTTCAATGGTCCCAATGGAATGTGGAATTTCCGTACTAAATCATGGTGTCTCGTTTGGGGGTGAACGTTGGGAAGTTGGGATTAGTTGGGATGATAAAAAATGGAACCAGTTGGGATGACTGAAACAATTCATCTTCACCGTGGGAAACTAGCCACTCTCCGGAAACTACTGATACTAAACTCTTTGGTGATTGTGGGTAAGGCCTTGCTAACTGTTAAGGTTCATGGGTTAGTTTGCAGCCACGTTGGATGGTATATCTATTCATATCCTGCAAAACCTGAACTTATTTTTGATATCGCTTCAATTTCCAAGCTAAACCACAATCATATGTTGGCCAAATGTGTCCCAAATTTATCTTGACTTTGGTTAAACTTACTTATTTACATGTACATATTCAGTTCATTCATTTGTCCAAACTGCCAGCCATTTATGTTATCATGGATCATATACCCTCTGGTAATTTAACAGTTTGCTATTGAAAATGGCCATAGAAATAGTGAGTTTTCCCATTAAAAATGGTGGATCTTTCCATAGTTTTTTGTATGTTTACCAGAGGGTATTTGTCGTCCAGATTACTATAAAACCAGTCCTGTCTCGAGGCCTTCAATAACGTGAAGTGGCTCCCAGGTCACAAGGCGGCCCCAAGTTGCGGAAGGGGTGAGGGTACCATCGGGTACCCGGCCTGGTAAACATGCAAAAAACGATGGACAATCACCATGTTTAATGGGTAAATCAACGAACTAAATGACACATTTCAATAGCTTTTTGTATGTTTACCGGAGTGTAACAGTATTTTAGAGAAACCCTTAAGTGAAGTTACCATTGATTGCTGAGTAAGCGGCTGATACCACAACTTTGAAAAAAAACGAATTGGCCAGCCCAGTTTCTGACGCGTTGCAGGGATTATCCCCGTTGGGTGATGTGTCCAGTCGTCAACGTGATGGTGGCCCTGCAGCATGTGAAAGTTTTATGTGGTTCCAAATGGAAGTATTTATATACCCCTAAGTTAGCTTTATTTTCAGTGGGAAAACGATGATCAAGAATGGGATTTGGGTGTATCCTGTTTCAAACCCTCATTTTTTGTCCATACCCCTAACAACTGGGCTTTACGCCGGTGGTAGGGCTGGTAGGCTTTTTTATGGGTGATTCCTGGATAGTTCCTGTAAAGATAGCAATTTTTACTGCTAAGGTTGATCTGTTGCCTATGGTAGCCAGTGGAATTTCTAGCCATGCCGCCATGCCCTTTTTTTCAACTTCAGGTGCGATTGCAGCAGATCTTCAGTGAGATCTCAGCTCGCGTTCGGGCGTGTCTCGGTCCGGACTGATGCCCTGGGATCCAGGGGATTTTGCCAGGTTTAAGGAACGAGTCCGTGAGAATTTGTTCGTCAAAAATGGAGGTGAAGTATCACTAAAAGCTGAGGATCTTCCAAGTTGGTTTATAAACCCAAAAAAACATCCATTAACTGATCTGAGATGATCGAAGTACATCTGCGATAAACCATAGTTAGTTGACCTATAGGTATAAATTGATTTAGCTATCTGGCCTCACCTTGTACTGTATTTGGGTAAACTTTGGCCGAGTAGGTTGATTTGGGGAAAGAATCGGGATAATCTCGACCATCTTAGGGGTAAAAAGTGCGACGTGATGGGATTCAGTGGGTATCTTCGTTGGTTTATAATTAGGCTAAGTGTTAATAAGATGAATTTCTATAGTTGGATGTACGTTCCACTTTTAG